GTTTTGTTTTTTAAAAACATTCCTTTTACACACTACAAAGAAATAATTAGTATTTTGGCTTTTTAAATTCCTACATGATATTCAGAATGGCAGTCCCCAAAGGTCCTCCCTTCACATAATCACAAACGCAGACCCTCTTCTGGAGTGTACATTCTTGGGGTGGGCGCTGAAGACTCGGGCCTCCACGTGTTTATACTGGTTTGAGAACAAAGACAGCATCATCCAGAACATAGTAGTCATTATACATGTCGCCTTCACACAGGTATGGTAGTCTGGTGAAAGCTTCAATAACAAAACCAGCTTTTCTGAAAACTTCAGGCAGACTATTCACTTGTTCTTCCCAATTCTGTCCCTTGATTTCTAAAATTTCTGATGGTTTCTCCCACTTGCCACCTACTAAAACAAATAGAAACATTAAGTTAAATTCTTGAACAAACAAGTTATTCAAAGAGAGAAGGGAGGAAGAACAACATTTGCCAAGGACTTGGTATGTGCCAAGCACTGGGTGCTTCGATGACTCATCTCCCCGATACCCTCTGAGGAGGACAAAGAGATGAAGTATGGACCCAGAGGGCTGAGGAACTCGCCCAAGCCTGCAAGGTTAGTGAGGATAAGAGCAGAAATGTAATCCCAGGTTTATCTGGATCCAAAGCCCATACTTTTACCTTCTCTGACAGTTTTAGATATTACCCTCCATTAGACCAACTGGGTTGTCAGTGTTCATGGTTTTGGAGAACTCCTCATTACATACAGGAAAATGGAAGCAGAGAGTTACCCATAAAATGTGAAAGAAGGTTTAGGGATAAATGCAAGAAAATATACCCATGATGTAGTAAATGTATGCAATATATTAACTAGAAAGGTTTATCAGGCTGAAATAGACTAATGAAGGCTTTTAATTTATAAAGACAGATCATCGGTGTGTTTTTCAAGGGAAGGTGATCCACTCCCTAACTTTTCATAACACTTTTATAAAAGTTAAGCTCCAAAACCAGAGAAAGGTAGAGCACTAGAACGGACGCGTCAGCCTAGCATTTTTTGGACTAGTGCCTGAAGTCTGAATCTGTCCCTTCCAAGCCCATGAGCGTCACATGCCTGTGGAATGGGGGTGGAGGCGCCTGGATAAGGTCTTCAGGCCTTCAAGTTCACACCAGGCACTGGGTCCAGACACGTGGACACAAAGATAATGGTATGTGTCAATTCTGGGGTGGTTTTAGGACTTGTGATGCTAAAAAAATGCACACACGTTAAAAGTATTACTAACTTCAGACAGACAGTGGCTTTCTGTGAGAAAAGACGTCATCAATAGGTGCCAAGAGTCCAGACACTACAGTGGAAAGATCTGTCGCTCCTCTTGGTGGCCCAGCACCTGAACCCTCTTCCTAGAATCGTGTTGGAGAGGCAGCGAAGGCAGGCACTGGCACGTGACCTACGCTCGGCCACACTCGCCTGACACGTGGACCGAAGAGCAAGTGACCCAGAGAAGTGGCCACGAGACCACGCGGTGGTACGAACAACAGAGTGTGGTCCGAGCCACGGTCCCTAGTGCTTGGCGGCAGCAGCATACCCGTCCGATCAGTTGAACAGCATGATCTGAGGCGTCTGGCCTGGCCGGAGACCCCACACGGGATTCTCCAAGCCTCCCGTGACGGTGTGAGCTACCCTCGAATCCTTTCAGTTCCCTCACTGAAGTCAGCCAGAGTCCGTTTCTGCTGCTTCCAGGGAAGAACCTGACGATGAGATCGCCGCAGGGCAGGAGAGGGGCCACGAGGGAACCACGACAGAGGCCCACACTTGGTTTCGACAACAGAGTAACAAGGGGTTACACAAGTCTGAGGTACAACTCGCTAATGCCACGCGTTTCTTCATTGTACCACGATGTACCGGTCACTAATTTTTCTCTCCTCACTACATGAAGACACCTCCTTCTGCTTCTTCCAGCTTTCCAGTGTTACTGGCCCAGCACTGAGCACACAGTAGGTGCCCCAGCATCAGCAACTGAACTACTCTGGAAATTTAAAGTACCAATAACCTGTCCAACAATACTCTTTCCTGGGAATACACACCACGTGTAAATCAAAATCTCCCTCAAAACATCTACAAGCCCAAGACAAAATTAACCATATGGATATTTAGAAATGTGCTCTAGGCTAAAACCTCAACTCTTAAGTGATGAAACTGGATTACAAACAATTTTTTACACAATTTCAAAAAGTTCCCGGTTATGGTTCCTTAATAAGAGTTCCTCTCTTCAGTTCTTCCTTTTCTAAAGAGACAGAAAAAAAAGAGCCAACTCTCCTCAAATGCACAGTGACCACCACCGCACGCGCACCCCAAGAAATGGAGACTGTGAAGGGAGGCAGGATCATTCTCGGCCTGGAAATCACCCTGATTCTCTTTTATGTTGGTAAGATTCTTTCTTTTCTCCTCCATTTTACCTAATCAATCACTATTCCTCACTAACGCATTTATATTTTAAGCCCCTACAGATTAATTTTTCAATGTCTAACGCTATGGAAATGGTCTCTTTTCCCAAGACAAAGAGTGTGATAAAAGAACAGCTGAGGAAGTTTCAGATTAACCTTGAAAATTCCCTTTGATGCTTTAAAGCAGAGCACCTCACCAAACAAAGGGTTGAAAACGTTCTTAAAATCACGTGAGCTAGTCACAACAATGTCATATCTGTACGGGCAAATGCGCACTGCTCAGGATAGGCACTACACAGTACTTACTGAATATTTTCAAAGAATAAGGTGTCTGAAAAGCCAGATTGCGGTAAATTAAAAAGTACCTGTCATTTAAAAAAAAAAAAAAAAGCTGCCATGGCTCCTTCCATAGAGCATAACCGTCCCATAATAGATATATTTTTAAAATTCTGCTTATACTTTTTCCTCTATGAAGGAGAAAGTGGTTCTAATAACCCATCTCATCATAGTTGCAATAAAGCTAATAATCTCAGAGTTGCTCACAGAGTCTGTGTCATAGGACAGGGAAGGTAGCAAAAGCTCTTAAAATTGTTTTTTTCTCATCTGTAAAGAAATATATCAAAATGTTAACAATGGTTATTTTGAGCACAAGGACTATGAGTGATTTCAGTAATATTTTTTTTTAAGATTTTATTTATTTATTTGAGAGAGAGAGAATGAGAGAGAGCAAGCACATGAGAGGGGGGAGGGTCAGAGGGAGAAGCAGACTCCCCGCCGAGCAGGGAGCCCGATGCGGGACTCGATCACGGGACTCCAGGATCATGACCTGAGCCGAAGGCAGTCACCCAACCAACTGAGCCACCCAGGTGCCCTGATTTCAGTAATATTCTGATTTTTTTTCCTAATCCATATAAATGACTTCCATAAACTATTTTCATTAGTATTATTTTAAAAAAGAATCCTTATTTTTTAAAGATCTACTCTGACAGATATGAAGATAGAGTATCTGAGATTTACCCCAAAATCATGTGGGAGTGAAGGAGCAGGTGGGGGGCTGAAGGAGCAGGTTGGGGGCGGTGAAGGAGCAGGTGCGGGGAGAGGCGAGACAAGACTGCGGCAACAAGCAGCAGGGAGTTCACCGTGCTAGCCTGCTGCTTCTGCGCATGCTTGAAATTCTCCATGTGATGAAGTGTCAAAAATCAGTTTTCTATTTATTTTCCAGCCTGGATCACAGTAAAGTGATTTTTTTAAGAGGGGGGTGGGGGAGGGACTGAGGGAGAGAGAGAATCGAGAGTCAGACGCTTAACCAACTGAGCCACCCAGGTGCCCCTAAAGTGATCTTTCTTTTATTCCCTCCACCAAGAAGATAAACTTTCAGCCATTGCAGAGCGTACTGCATTGGGAAAAAAAAAAAAAAAAGAATCCTATAGGGTAAGAGAATTCTTAAAGAGAAATTCTTGCAGGACTAGGCTTGGTGTGACCCATTACCCAAACTTCTCACTTTGGCGAAGAGGCTGTGTCACTGGTGCGGGGGAGGGGCAGGCGTTTCCTCACCCGTCAGCACTCTCAAAGGAAGTCCCTGACCGCTCTTCTCTGACACTCAGAAGTCGGAAGTGGAGACATGAAACTCCAAAGTTGCAAATATTTCTTCTTCCCTGGAACATTAGTTCTCCAAAATTTTTAAGTCAGCTTCCCTTTTAAGACTATCTGAAAAAGGGGGCGCCTGGGTGGCTCAGTTGGTTAAGCGACTGCCTTCGGCTCAGGTCATGATCCTGGAGTCCCTGGATGGAGTCCCGCATCGGGCTTCCTGCTCGGCAGGGAGTCTGCTTCGTCCTCTGACCCTCCCCCCTCTCAGGTGTTCTCTCTCTCTCATTCTCTCTCTCTCAAATAAATAAATAAAATCTTAAAAAAAAAAAAAAAAAAGACTATCTGAAAAAGGACTTCAGACTGAGATGCTATTGGTTAACTGTTAGATCTTGGCAGGCCCAACTCCCTTTGAAACCCCCAATATATATTGATCATTATAACTTGCAAAGTGTTTGTACTTCTAATGGGGCTGCCTCTGAGTAGGAGACATGAGGCTGTATTTACCAGACTTAGGAGTGAGTCCAATCCCTCACCTGCAGAGGAGTGAGGAGCCTGCTGGTCTTTCTCCAGGTGACCTTACCCTCTCCTCTGGTCTATATTTACCAGGTCATTAAAAAACTCCCAGCTCATCTCAGATCGTACATATACTAAAATTAAAACATGGAGAGAATATATCTGCATCACAAATGCCATGATTCTAATTTTAATTTATCTTCTGGTTCTGGATGAAGACTAAGAAAACCATTAAGTCAAAAAACAAAACACAAAAATCTTGTCTGAAATTCAAGCATCAGACCACTTGGATTACTTTTCAATTTCATTTAGAGTAGCAAAGGACAAACTCAGACAAATAAGACCATTTGGAACACATTCCAAAGAAGGCTCCTCACTCATCTGCAGGTGAGGGATTGGACTCACTCACTCCTCTAAGTCTGGTAAATACAGCCTCATGTCTCCTACTCAGAGGCAGCCCCATTAGAAGTACAAACACATAACCAGGCAGAAGTCAAACTAAAAACTTGCATAAATTCCAATTTGTCTCAACCAATACTATTTTACGTAGACCCTCCCTTACCCCAAAAAGGGTTTAGAGCAGATCTTCCCATCTGTAAACCTCAGAGTGGCTTTCCACCTCACGGGCCTGGGATTAGAAGGCCAAGGTGGGGACCCAGGCGGCATACTCTGGATGAAGCATTCGGCAGAGAGAGCACTGGACGGGGTGTCTAGTCCCGGGCCTGCCAACGCCCGCTGAGACACCCGCTGAGATACCCATGATTATCCCTAAAACAGGCACGTGACACCATGGGAACAGGAGAAGTGGAGACAAGCGCGGCAGAACTAGCTACGTTTTATAAAATTCTTATCAAGGCTTAGCCAACTAAGTATTCCTTATGCACTTAAACCTCCCACTAACTCCTTGAGCTGCATATACTATCCCCACTTTGCTACAGACCACAAAGCTAGGATCTGAACTCAAGTCTGTGCTCTTTATCACAACACTGTTCATCAAACGAGACAGAAGCTACCAGGGACTACAAAGCAGGGTGCTGGTGCAGGGAAGAAATCAAATCTGCTCACTGTGGCATGGCTAACTCATTAGGTCTCGGCTTGGTAACCAAATATGCTGGAGGCTAAGCCAGGGCTGTATTTCCCCAGGTGTGCACCTTGTCTTTTATGTGTCCTGTAGGGACAACCAGGCTTACAAAGGAGTAATTGTGAATTGCCATGAATTCCTAGCAATCCCAACCCTCACAAGGCCAAAGAAAAAGAAAATCCCTTCACTCCTGTGCTCAGTCAGCAGCGACACCTGCATGAGGTTACCGCACTGACCACAAGGCTCCTGGGAGGCCGGGGGTACAGATGGGACAGCATGCTTAGCGATCAAGGGAAAGCTTATAAGGTCACCAAGAGTAAACTTGGGGTCCCCCAGTTCCTGACTCCAGATCTGCTGCCACCTCTGCCCACCACGCTGACTCTACTGGAATCTCTCTGTCCTCAAGTAACCAGACATCATAGCCGACAGCAGGGTAAGGTCAGCGAGTGCGAGGGGTTAGGAAAAGTGAGGACCACTGCTGTCTTATTAGTATAGTCTTGTTTGTGCTGGGAAGCGGTAAGGAAAAGAAAGGACTCTGGAGTTCCCTAGCCCCCAAATGTCAGTAAAACAGAAGCACAGGCAAAGGGAAGTGAGAAGCCCCCTAAACATGGCTCGTGCGCTTCCTCCCACAGGTGCTACACGTGAGTGTATGGTCTTTGTCCATCAACCGCCTTACCTCGAAGTAGCCCACAATCAAGGGACCGCAACCATTCAGTGTTCCTTCTCCCACACGGGGTGCCCTTCAAAGCAACCACAAAGCCTGTGGTTTCGCTACGGTGCGGACCAGCCCGAAAACCTATGCGTGGATGGCTGCACCGGGGATGCAGGCAAATTCACAGTGAAGGAATTCCTCACAGAAAGAGCAGTCTCCCTCACTGTAAACAGGGTGGCTCTGAATGACAGCGCCATCTACATCTGTGGAATCGTCTTTCCCAAGTTAAAGGAACCAGGAGCTAAGCGGACCGGAGAAGGGACCATACTGGTGGTAAGAGGTCAGTCAGCCGAGGCTTTGCTCAGCCCTTTGAATGCATTACGGTACTTATATGCAGAGATGAAGGGACAGATGTGCTAACTCAACATCCTAGCCAGTGAAGGGCGTGATCTGACACAAGCTGACAGGACACTGAAGCACTACTCCAGTCCCATCTCCCAGCCTCCACAGACACAAAGTCAGGGCTGTCTCTCTGTGCCCAGACACTACTAGCGCAGGCTGGCCAGCAGGTCCTCCTTCTGTGAATGACAGTGACTGGTAATGTGCCAAGTCCAAAGGGAAACTTGGGCGTTGGTGGTATAGTGGTGAGCATCGCTGCCTTCCAAAGGGAAACTTGGGATGATTAGCGAGCAGCTTGTTCGGGAACTGGGCTGGCATTGCACTATCGAGAACAAAGCAGAAGTGACCAATAAATTGGACCTGCAGGGGAAAAAAAAGGCAGTATGGAGAATAAACACAAATTTGAGGAGAAGCCACTGGGGGACCTCTGACCCCACCCATTCTACACGGACAGAAAAACAGAAAGAGAGCGGTGTGACGCTGACTTCTTGAGATTTGCTAAAACCTATGACAATTTCCTCATTCAAGTGAGGGTCTTGAACCCAGTTATATCCTATAAATCAAAAAATCGAGAAATTTCAGGAAAAAAGCTTCACACAATTCTGGGGGAAAGAAGAGAAGGGAAATAGTCCTTGACTTTTTTGGATCTCTTCCGTTAAAAAGGACTCTGGTACGATGAGCACTAAAATCATTAAAACATTAACTCAAAATCAACCAGCCCTACCACTTTAAAATAGGACTTTAGGGACCCGAGATCATCCTGTATTATAATTCCTGCTTTTAATTACTAGGGGTGTTCTAATGGGCTTTTGGTATCCCATTGTCATTTAACCTTAGTTTATTCTCACCCATAAGATAAACTATAAATGAGTTAATACATATAAAACACTTTTGATGATGCCTGGCTTATAGCAAGTATGCTTAAATAAATGTCAGCTACAGATATTAAAACAAATATACAACAACTTTGGAGACCTGTATTAGTCTTCTATAAAAAATGTTAGCCAAAACCAAAAATAGTTTGTAAAGAGATGAAAGGTCTCAAGACTGCAAGTTCATGTGAAGACAGATTCTTCTCTAAGAGCAGAAATGCAAGTATTACTAAGACAGACACAGCAATTTCCTGCCTCTTCTACAGAACTCCTAATTTAGCACTTGAAACTTTTTAAAAAAATTCTACAGATATGGTTAATTTGTTACAAAAATGTATGCTGTACAAACTGAGTTCACAGGATGAGCATCTATGGGATATTTCGTTGAAAAGTACAAGTTGTTCACATAATAATTACAAATCTAATTGTATTTTGTGCCTCAAATAATCAGGTAATAGAAGACATGGCATGTTGCTCTATCCCCAACCAGAGCATGGGACACTTCCTACAAGGAGGGACTACTTCCAAAACTTTATTAGAAAGAAGGGGCATGTGTTGGGGCGCCTGGGTGGCTCAGTTGGTTAAGCGACTGCCTTCGGCTCAGGTCATGATCCTGGAGTCCCAGGATCGAGTCCCACATCGGGCTCCCTGCTCAGCGGGGGGTCTGCTTCTCCCTCTGACCCGCTTCCCTCTCGTGCTCTCTGTCTCTCATTCTCTCTCTCAAATAAATAAATAAAATCTTTAAAAAAAAAAAAAGAAAGAAGGGGCATGTGTAACAATGCCTGTCGTTTAAAGGTATAGTAAGCCCTAAGATCCTCCACATATGGCCTTCTCAGATCCTTGTACAGACTGCACTATTCAGTTGTTTATACGAAACAGGTCAAGGTTACAAATGTCAGCATTCACAAATACATGGCAAAAATATCTTAACTCCACGAACAGACTGTTGGTGACCCTTGTACATCATTTCTATCAAAAGAAATTTTAAATGTCCTTGAACAAACTGTCCTAAAATGTTTATCTAACTTCAAATAATGTGTTCTATAAAAAGTGATTCTGAGCATTATAAGTAATTGAATTTAAAATTTTTTTAGTTTTCAAAATGAGTAACAATTTTGGTATAACATATTTAAAGAACTGATGAACTGCTTTTAATTCTACCACATGCTTGAGGGTCTTCTGAATCAAGAGACACTGAATAATGTTTAAAGAAGAGCCAAGGGGTGCCTGGGTGGCTCAGTTGGTTAAGCGACTGCCTTCGGCTCAGGTCATGATCCCAGGGTCCTGGGATCGAGCCCCACATCGGGCTCCCTGCTCAGCAGGGGAGTCTGCTTCTCCCTCTCCCACTGCCCTTGCTTCTGTACTCTCTCTCCCTCATTCTGTCTCTCAAATAAATAAATAAAATCTTAAAAAAAAAAAGAAGAGCCAAGCAGAGCAGTTCATGTTTCGCCTCTAACACTTGTAGCTCCAGTTATACTTTATGTATGTATTTGCAATAATATGCTTCAATAGTGACTGTGGCTCTTCCTGTTTTTGTAATTAACAAAGAAATGAAGGAACCACACAGCCTCCTGATAGCTGTTGTATCACTGCTCTCTATCTACATTATTGGTGCACTCGTGATCTTCGTAATCCTTTCCAAAGTAAGTCAAATTTCCTTGCACTAGATGTCCCTATAGCCTTGAATATTATCATAAGGAAATGATTTCCATCTCTCCACGTGTGAGCCTCAGAAATTGCTCACCTAATTAACATCCTCCTGTACATCTGCAGGAAACACCACCTGCAGGAACAGTCTATGGAAGTGTAAATTCTCATCACTAAAATTATTACTAATCAGAGTACAAAACTTGCAATGGTTTCTCTTTAAAACCAGTAATATGAGAATAAGAAATCCTTCTTTATAACTATCTTATTTGTGATCTTTCCGCTGGGAAGCATTACTGTTATCTATAGAAGACCTAAGAACAGCCTTTAAGGTTAACAAAGAGACTAGAAGCTGCCTTAAAATATTTTTAAAAGGCCTAAAGTTTTTGAGAAGGAAAATCTTCTGGCTGTTCATAGGCTATAAGAGGGGGTACATATATGCTACATTAGGATCACAACAAAGCCTATAGTCAACATCAATATGAATTGTTATTTTATTAATATAATAAAAGCATCTCAGGAATTACATAGAAATTAACTCTGTGTATCATTTAAATGTTAAGTTAGTTTAATCTTAATATGGTACAAGATATCTGCCACAACTGTTTTGAGTGCATAAAATGTCTCATAAGACTTTCCTTTTCTTCTTTACAGTCAAAATCTAACTCTTTAAGAAACAAAGAAACAGGAGATTCACAAAAGGTACAGACCAACGCTTGTAAAATACCTTTCAAACGGTGGCTGGTTGTAATTATTTCAAACCCCAAATAATGAAAAAATTACAGAGAATATCATGGTAACTTTCAACCACAGAAACCATTTCTTATTACTGAGAACTCAAGGATAATCTCAAGTGGTAAACTATGATTTAAATGTGATCATTCTCAACCATAAACCCTACCTAACATACTCAAAATACAAGAGTTAATGGTCAGTGTAGATGTGCTGGGGGTTGGGGGGGTGTGTGTGGGGGGAGCGGTAGTGGTTCTGACTGGTGGCAGTAAAGAAAGACAAAGCTAAGATGATGTGCAATAATCATCTCTTCTAGTCCTAAGAGAAACAGGAATTTTTTCTCATTTGTGTTTACAGAAGAGGAGTGCCCGACGTATTTTTCAGGAAATTGCTCAGGAACTATACAGTAAGAGACAGGTGGAAACAAGACAACAACCTGTGAGTGTAAAATATCAAAGAGATGTAATGCAGATACAAAGCATGTGTGAAAAAGCTAAGCCACCAACAAGCCATCAATAATCATGTTTTCCTATAAAGGAATATGAAAGAGGACTTTCACATAGAATACATTTTTATATAGAACCTGTTTTGATAAATACATAACAAAGGACATCTGATACAATATTAAACAGAGACCAGGTTGACATCTTAGTGACATGGAATCTTTCAGAAACACACTGGGTATAGGCAATGTTTTCAATTCACACAAGGATGCTTTTGTGGATTAAAAGATCCTTGCATGCATGCAGTAGCAGGCAGTAAGTAAATGCTGCAAACAACTGTGGGTCAAATTATAAAGAAAACATCACTTATTGCTAACAAGGCAGAAATAAATTCACATTAGAAAAAGGGAGCTAATGAAAATAAAAATCAAGTATTTCTTCAGTCTGCGGTTAGAGTGGCAGGAAGAATGCATTCATATTATCTGTGAGACATCTGACAGTGTCTCTTTAAAGTCCTCTATAACAAGTTTTTCAAACAAGATGCTGTTTTAGTGCTAGTGGAACAGATACTCAGTTTCCAGGGTGCACAATCAGGCGGCTCAGATTTAAATTAAAATGTATACTATAATATAATGAATTTATACACAACTAAGCATTTTTTTTCTTAAACAGCTGCCAAGAGGGCAAATGTAACAAGGGTCTGATATGAGGTGTTGTATGTTTTTTTTTAATACAACTTTTAAAAAGGATTTTCATCCAGGAGAGAGTGTGGTCTAAGTAGTCATTTCATACTTCAGTGTGTATACAAATACATAAAGAAATGGTCTAATCACCTAAGATATCACTCTGAATAATTATGAATGCCTGTTCACTCTTTCTTTACTGAGGCCGGAGCATCTTTTTCTGCAAACAGACAATGATAAGTGTCCTGAAGACAAGTCTAGAAGTAAGTACTGTTATGTAAACCAGGACTCTCCCAACAGCATCTCAAAATCTCAAATTTCTGGTCAGCAAATCCCAGACTGGAAAACACTACAGGCCAAATAATCCTGTTGCTTCTACAACAATATGGACAACAAAAATGCAATTGAAGGGAATCTTAATATATTTAATAAAATAAAGAATGAAAAAATGCTAAAAAAAAAGAAAAGAAAACTAATTTTCAGTTCCACATCTTACTCTAAATATAGGAAGAATAGTAACTGGGCCTTTAAGATTACTGGAGGCTACTTGGGACACAGAATGCAAGAGGGCACAGGAGGGCATACTAGTTTAAATGTTGCTTGCAGTGGGACATCATCGGTTATACAACCTTAAATATGGCTTGTTATTTACTCTTGCAGGAGAAAGGCAACATTTAACGAAAATAGAAGAGCACTTTCCAACTATGAAAGACCATAGAGATGTTTTAATTTTCAATTAAGTCACTGAAAGTCCAAATCCAGAAGTTATGGCAGTGTTATCGGACATACGCCCATCAGGGCTTTAAAAAACCAATCAAAGGTAAATGGAAAAGACAATTCTCCACAAGGAAGGATGCCACACTACAAGGGAACTATCACTAAAAGTAATTACCCAAAATACTAAAATCCTACAAAATACAACTGAAAAATACTTTCTAACTTGCCAGAATTCTGAGTAGTCTAACATTTAAAAAATTTCCGTTTTCCTAACATATATCCTATATTTGTGTCATTTGACATACGAGGTATGTGAGGACTCCTACCCTGAAGATTAGAAGTCACACCCCATGCTTCTGTCTGCTTCTGTCTTGAGTGGAAGAATTGTCTTTATGGTTGTGGAAGTGATGGGCCAATGAGACTAAGATGGGAGGGAGGGGAAAAAGGAAGGGAAGCGCCAAAATTTGAGTTTAAAAAAAAAAAGGGAGGGGAAGAAGAAAAGAAAAACCATCTTGCAAAGTACCTTGGAGCAAACACCGTTCTCCTGGTATTGCCACTGGGTAACAGTAGAGTGCACATTTTCCTGCCTGCATATGCAAAATGACTTACATCATGCTCCCAACAAAAAGTGAAAATAGAGTTAAGAATATGATAGCTAAAATGTAGAAGCTCCGACGCGGGAGGTTAAACAGAAAACCTCAGAACCTCAGAACACAGAAGCCTCAGCCAACTCTAGATGTCACTGTTGGGCCAAATAACAGCACCAGGGAAGCAGTGCGCAAGACACGTGCTTGCCTGTGCCTTTGCCATATTGATTTTTAACTGATTTAGGAGGGGAGTATCAGATAAGGGGTGGGGTCCAGCAAAGATGTTTATGGAATCATTACTATGTCACTGAGAAAACATAGTATGCATTGTTCTTTGAAAGCTACCTCATTGTAAAAATCGATTTAAAGTACCCACAAGTGTGCATTCGTTATTAAAAATGAATTATAACCTATTTTTATTTCATTAAAGTGTTTCTTTTAAAATGGTATTAAATGAGGTGAATTCTATTTTTAAAACCCAGAATTTTAAAACATTTTAAGATCTCTATGAAAATGTTTTGCAATGATGACCTGAATCAGTGGTCTCCAACACGTGTTATCACACGTTCCAGGAAAAAATGGCAAGAGGAGAGAGGGGGGAGCGTGTGTTTGTGTACACATGTGTGTGAGAGCCTATGCTGTGCATTTGTGTGTGCTGGGCATAGTGTGTGTGTACATGTATGTGTGTAAACTAAACAACTGGCATAAAAAGTCATAGACATAGAAATGTTCATGTTTTCTTCCTATAACCCAAAATAAACGGTCTTGTGTTCTCCTGGGTGTATGGCCCTACTTCGAGACTGCTGGCTTGGATGAAATAAATGAATTTCTAAGCTAGACGGCAAAAAAGGGGTAGGCACTAACTATCCAGGTAAATAGAATGTGTTAGATTAGATCATTTACTTTTCATTTCTGGGAGTCATTACATTTTGGTACTCCCAGGGCTGAAAATACACTGTTCTTTGTGTAACTTAACTAGCAGACAAAATCCCTAAGATAAATTAGTATTTGATTTAGAATAAGCCTTACCCAATGCAACAAGGACTGTGTTTCCAAGATTGCTGTTCAAGCTGAAATTGGGATATACTCTCCTTTGGGAAAGTAGTTACATTCCCTTACATCATATATATCAGTTATTGATGTATACATTAATATTCATTCTTTTATTCATCCATCTAGCCAACAACATCTACTGGGTACTGGACTATTATCCAGTCAAGGGCCTTTCTTTCATGCCACCCTTGGGCCACACTGACCTTGTCCTTCCCTAATCCCACCTTGTTCACACTCTTCATGCTTTTGCATGTGCTCTTCCCTCTGCCTTGTAAAATGCTTCTCAGATACAAACATAGCTCAACTGTTACCTCCTACATGAAACCTTCCATAACCTCCCCTAGCAGTTAATGGGTCTTTCATTCTCTAAACCCATAGTACTTTGTCATATTCCTTATCAGACTATCCTGTCATTGTCTGCTTACATCTATCTTCTGTATGATTCTCTAAATATCTTAAGACTAGACGCAGGTTTGTCATTATCTTTGTATTTCCACTGCCTAGCCTTGCCTGGTCAAAACTAGGCACTCCAATGCATTTATATGAATACAAATGAACACTGTTTCTATAGAAAAATATTTTTTCAGCATGTCAACTGAGATCTGAATGAAGCACACTTCACTCCCTAGCCATCGACCCTCACCCCTCACTGTAAGCAGAATCCCTGGCAGTACTGATTTTCCTACTAGCTGAGCATCCAGATTTTTCACTGGAAAAAATTAAGCTATAGCTTTCTGTTTAAATTAGAGTTTCCCATGACAATGAGAAGAGACTAATACTGAAACTACTCCCAACAAGAGGGAAACAACAAAGATGTGGTTCTAGTGTCTTCACACCCTACCCTCTAGACAAGAGCACTTAAACCACATACCGAAAGATGTTAGCAGGATTTTCAGAATAAGTAATTTCTTTTTCTCTGTTACATAAGACCCGAGTGAATCAGAGACCCCTGGCTCACAGGCACAGGGTAAAGATTCTGGGGGGTCAAGTCACATAAACCAATGGAGAGTGTACGTTTGGAGACAAAGTTGCGATGCCTAATGAAGTCATCAAATTATGATGATTACTGTGAAAAGAGTGAAGTCTCAAACAGACCTGAAGGACACTGAGAAATATTTCAAAATGAAGGACTGTGAACAAATAGGATCAATAAAGCCACAAACAAAAACGAAGTAACAGGACAGAATGGGATGACCTATATCTAACGCGTATTAAATATCAACACTGAGACAGACACGGTAGGGCACTCTCCTATACATTAGATTCTTTAATACTCAGGACAAACCTTGAGGTAAGGATTAGCCCCACTCTTAGAGATGAAACACTAACCTTAACAAGAGGCCCACGTTTCAAACAGGGCCAGCCCTCAAAGCCCAAGCTCTTTCCATGCAATAGTCCTATCAGAGTCTTGCTTATTTCTATTTAGACTTACGGGAGTTTTAAGACTTAACATACCTAATTTAACCAGAACAATGACCCTAGAAGAGAGTTAGGAAGTTGCCAAAGTCTACCTCTCAACAGGCACAGGTCTCGCTGGTTTCCCAGGTGAATTCTACCAAACTTTCCAAGAACAGAGAGCCACATGCAATTTAAATTGTTCCAGCGCATGGAGAAAAAAATTCCAAATTATTTTTTACAAAGCCAGCAGAACACTGATACCAAAACATGACAAAGATAACATCCTCCAAATAAAGATCAGATATAAATCAATTATTATTCATTAATATCTTGCTAATACATTTATTCAGAATTTTTGTAAATACACTCTAGCAATGCGTTACAAGAAGACTATCCCATCTAAGCCCAGAAATGCAAGGGTGGATACACAGTATACAAGTACTATTAATTTAACAAGTCAAAGGAGAAAAAACAGAATGACTATCTCCACAGATATTGAATATACAGGTAACAAAGTTCAACAGCGATTCCTGACTTTGTAAACTCTTAATGAAACAAGATTTAAAAGAATATGTATTTCAAGCCAAACAACAGCAATCTCAAGCCAAAAGACAGCATCATATTTAAAGTAGAAATATTCTCATTAAAGTAAAAAACAGGACAAAAATGCCTACCATTTTTAAAAACATTTTCTGGAATTAACTACCAATTCACATGGGCAAAAAAAGTTTAAATATGAAAAGTAAGTAGCAAAACCATTTCCAGATCAAGGAAACACGAGAATCAATACAGAAGCTACTGGAGACAATAAAACAATTTAAAAATATAAATGATTACAAAATTAGTATATACTCAAATCAATTGCTTAGGTATGTACACCTACCATTCATTCTAAAATATGATGAAAGAGCCGTCTGCAACAACATGGATGAAACTGGAGGACATTATGCTAAGTGAAACAAGCCAGACACAGAAAGATAAACACTGCATGATCTCACTCATAGGTGGAATCTAAACAAGTCAAACTCGTAGAACCAGACCGTAGAGTGGTGACTGCCTGGGGCTGGAGGGTGGGGAAAATAGGGAGACATTGGTCAAAGGGCACAAACTTCCAGTGACGAATAAGTTCTGGGGATCTAATGTACAGTATGATGACTACATTTAATAATACTATACTGTATACCTGAAGTTTATTAAAAGAATAGATCTTACTTAAGTGTTATATCACACACAAAAAAGAGTAACTATGTGAGGTGGATGCATTCATTAGACTGTAGTAATAACTTCACAACGTATACGTACATTAATCATCACGCTGTGCACCTTAAATACATATAATTTTTGTCAATTTCCCAAAAGCTGGGAAAAAGTTTGAAAGTTAAAAAAATGATAGAAGAAAATTTTCTATTTAACAATATCCCACCCACAAACACACCATTAGAATAAATCCAAAAAAACCTGTGTAGGACCTTTATGAAGAAAATTTTGTTACTAAACATAAAGAATTGAATAAAATGAAAGGCACATCCTATTCTTAGCTAGGAAGACTCAATATTCCCTAAATTAATCTATAAATTAATTAGTGCTAAACCAGTGCTACAGTTGATCTGTTAAATAAAATAAGCCAACAAAAATCTGCAAAGGAACTGCGAGAAGGGGGCTGGTGCTCTGACATGAAAATGTATGCTAAGTTACAGTAATGAAAACAGTTTGGTATTGGCACACACCGGAGGGTGAATCTTAATAAAACTAAACCCATTCGGGACTTCAGTATATGATAAAGGTAGCATTTCAAAGCACTGCGGAAAAGATGATTATTCCATAAACAGGGTTAAGATCCCAGGCTAGCTATCTGGAAAACTGTCTTTCACAAGCACTTCCACCTCTAGAAATGGATCACACAGATAACCTTAGACCTAACTTCCTTCAGGTGTTTGTTTTTATATATTTTTTAAGATTTTATGTATTTGACAGAGAGCTTGTGCTCTCTCTCGTTTGCTCTGTCTCAAATAATAAAATCTTTAAAAAATAAATAAAAAATAAAAATAAAATTACAGCACCCAAACCCAACCTCCAATTCCAGATGCCCCTTTCTTGCTTTTATAGTTCATTTTCTCTGTAACATTTATCACCAACAGCATGCCATTTGTTTCCTGTCTTCCTCACTAGAAATAAGCTCCATGAGGGCAAGACTATCTGCAAGTTTTCCACTTGATCTATATCTCCAGCACCTAAGCACTCAGTAAATACTTTTTTAAATGAATGAAGATAATCGCATAAGAGTACCAATTCCCTTCCACATTCATTGCAAGCCCAGCCTAACGGTGTAAATATGCTCAGGGCAGAGGGCTCCCTCCAGACCCAGAGAGTGCACCATGACTGTCCCAGACCCCTCACCAGTTGCTGGCTGGGTAGGAACATGTGCCCCTATCCTTGACAATGGGCCCTAAAGTGATGGGGAGATTTCTGGGGAAGGTTTCCCTCACTAATGAAAAAAAAAAAAAAGATGTTTGGGGAAGAATTGTCCTCTCTTTTCAAGATTTTTTTTTTCCGGGGGCGGGGGGGTTAGGGGGGCACAGAGGGAATGGGAAAGAGAGAATCTTAAGCAGGCTCCACACAAAGCGCAGAGCCCGACGTGGGGCTCCAACCTTGAGATCATGACCTGAGTGGAAATCAAGAGTCAGATGCTTAACTGACTGAGCCACCCTTCTGCCCCCTCTCTTTTCAAGATTTTGTCATGCCTACACATGACGTTTGGCACTACATTAGCTATTTTGTAATTCTAAGAGGAATGCCAATACACTGAAGATGGAGAAAAGCAAGCAAGCTCTGAACTTCAACAGAACAGCTGTATAGCAGAATTAACCCAACCATAGAATCGCTATCCTAAAATAAACTCTTAATTTTTAAAAGCAACTTTTGGTTGTTCCTTGTTTCTTTTTTAAGATTTATTTGTGTGTGT